AGGAATGGAGTACTTGTCAAGGAAGAAGTTTGTTCACAGAGATCTTGCAGCAAGAAATATATTAGTATCAGATGAAGGAACAGGAATATGCAAGGTAAGAGATTAGTACTAAGAATTGGACTTTATATAGTATGGTCTCAGATTGCTGACTTTGGTATGTCAAGGGATCTACAAGATGAATCTTATTATATTTCACAAACAAAAAAGGTTCCGTTAAAATGGACAGCACCAGAAGTAATTAAAAACTGTATAATTTGAATATTGAATTGTGTATGTATAGGCATTACATTATAAGAAATATTCGAGTGCTAGTGATGTGTGGAGTTATGGAGCTGTAATGTATGAGATTTGGTCTTTAGGACATAAACCATTTGAAAACTCTACTAATCAAGAGGTGTGTACTATTAATAGCACTAGTATTTATTAACTTTCATTGCAGTATGTGAGACTGGTTGATTCAGGCTATAGATTACCACCTCCTCCAGGATGTCCTAAACCAATGTATAAACTAATGATACAATGCTGGTATGTATTTATACTGTAACAATTATTGGTTATGTTGTGCTATCATGTAAAAATGGTCATAACTCAAAAAATATTAGTCGGAATCAGATCAATTTTCTATAGAACATAAGGACATCAATGTGTATCAAAAAATGTAATAAAAATTTGGGGTGATTTTGGAGCCATTTTTTGGAAAAAACCATGGGCCTTGGGTATTTTTGAGAATTTTAGCATTTTATTAAAGTGGCCGTAACTTAAAAAATTGACGTTGGAATCAGCTCAAACTTTCTACACAGCATAAGGACATAAATATGTATCAGAAAATGTAATAAAAAATTGGGTTGATTTTAGAGCCATTTTTTGGAAACAACCATGGGCTATAGCCTTGGGTATTTTTGAGAATTTTAGCATTTTATTAAAGTGGCCGTAACTTAAAAAATTGAAGTCGGAATCAGCTCAAACTTTCTACACAGCATAAGGACATCAATATGTATCAGAAAATGTAATAAAAATTTGGGTTGATTTTGGAGCCATTTTTTGAAAAAAACCATGGGCTATAGCCTTGGGTATTTTTCAAAATTTTAGCATTTTATTAAACTGGCCGTAACTTGAAAAATTGAAGCTGGAATCAGCTCAAACTTTCTACACAGCATAATGACATCAATATGTATTGGAAATTGTAATAAAAAGTTGGGTTGATTTCGGAGCCATTTTTTGGAAAAAACCATGGGCTATACAGCTAGGGTATGACAAACATGTCTTGTAATAAGATCTAATGGCTAAGCTAAGATTAGTATAGGCTTATTATTGTGATCCACAATAATAAGCAATAGTGTTATTGTTATTTTCCCATTTATAGGAATCCTGATACTTATAATCGTCCAAGTTTCTCAGATATATCATCAAGTCTATCTTCACCTAATAAACAATTACTAATGATTAATAAAGAGAATCCTGTTACTGTACTGGGTGGAGCTTTAGAAACAAGCCACTCCCTCTATACCGACTTACAGTGCATGTACAAAAAGTAAAATTTGCATGTTCTATTTTTTAACCTCTCATTGATTCTTCCCACTCTTTCTCTTAATTATTTTTTTATATTGACGTTTCAGTGAGTGATTAAATGTTCAGTTCCTCCCTCATTTATAAATGTATTACAGTTTTTGAGTACTGCATTTGTATTTTTAACTGATTTTTACTTTATTACACTTTATATTGTTTAATTTTGAAATAAGAACCTACTATTGCATAAAAACTGAAGAAAATATACCATTTCATACATGCACTGTGGGAATGTGTGTAATGTAGGCTACTGCACTATTATAGTCTGTTTATATGTAGTATGGAGGTTATGACCACATGTTAATTTTGACAGGTAGCTACTATACTTATATATCTATGCTATAATGCATGCATGGTATCATAAATACATTACAATACATTACAACCTGCATGGTGTACATGAATAGCTTGGTTGTGCTGTTGCATATGATTGCAAGCAAAAAATTGAATATCATAATTTCTTGATGCTACAGTCAAGCTCACTTTTACTGCTAATATCACTATGCAGTAGGATACAATGTTTCTAATGTTCACATTCATGGCAACTTTTGAGTAAGACTTGCTTTGAGACAATAGTACAGATCATTATAATGTATAATTATTTGGATTAGTGAATCTCACTAATTGTTAGGTGGTGCTAAATATCAAAGCATTCTTGACTTTGAAATGATGATTAATTTTAAATTAATCATAATTATGATAACAATTCTAACAATTTATACAATTTTAATGATAGCAATTCTTATTTTAAACAGATTACATTAACAAAGAATAAAGCATATAGACAGTTATAAAGACATTGTGTATAGTGCATCATCAACAATTAAGTGAAGTCCTCCAAAGTCACTCACCATACAGTATGCATTTGTCATTAGACACGTGATATCACGTGCATAGACTCTATTTATTAATTAGGTGTTAGATCTAATTATAGGTGTAGTTTTAGATCTAATTTTAGTAATTTAGTAGTCTACTGACTCCGAGACTGACTCAAGCAATGGCTCATTCGCTCTCTCTTTCACTGGCTGTCCTTATGATATTATTGCTTAATGAGGCAGCAACAGGAGGAGGAGGAGTATGTACTGAAGGATTCATGGACTTGAGTCTACTAGTAGCTGAATCAGCTCCTGCTACTCCATCAACTGTCAATCCTTTTGCTAACAGCAACTTTGCCAGAAGATGGGTCATTGGTGGTGGCAATTCATTCAGTTGTACTTCTGCTACTGTAACAGAAGTTCTTTTTGGAGTTGATATCAGATCAGAATATGGAAATAGAAACAAGTATCCTAGCGTTGACATATGGCAATATGATGGTAGTTCTTCCTACCAGAGCTCTGTCACTATTCCTATTGTACTGTCTCCTGATAATGTCACTGCTAATGGATTATATCGTTTCATTCTTCCTACTCCTTTTAGTGTCAATGGCAGTAATTATAATACTTACAGACTAGGAGTGTATCAACCTGAAGATGATTCAAGTGTTGTTAGACTTTACAATGCAACCACTAGCAGCACAGAAACAGTTGGAAGAATCAGAGCAGACTCCATTAGTGAATCAAATATCAGAACATCTGGTTGGGGTAGAGAAATTGACTTTTATACTGGTGTAACAAGCATTTTTATGGTACATCTCAAAACAGGTATGTAGTAACATTATTACAAATAATTCATTAATTGATAATAATTTATCTAGATCCTCCTAACTGCTTTCAAAATGTTTTCACTGAAACTGAAATTAATACAAACAGTCTATCAGTTACTAATATAATACCAGTCAATGATACAAGAGCTTTTCCTGATATACAGTTCACATGTAATGGTATTATTACTAACTGGATAATTGGTATTACACAGAATCAGGATACAAGCAAACTTTATCCTAACATTTATTTAAAACGTTCTTCTGAACTGATTCATGCACTAACTGTTGATGCTTCTGCTGCTACATCAAGTAATGGTAATGTATATAACTTTACAAGTGATATTGAAGTACAGCATGGAGATATATTAGTAATCAATGTAACCATTAATAGTAATCCAATGTATTATCAACAATACAATGGACCATTGAATTATGAGCTTGATAGCAGTAATGGATTAATACCATTGGAGCATAATGACTATCCACTGATATCAGTTATGATAAGTGAGTTTTTTTATTTCAATATGTTTGATGTTTGATTTCATTACTTTATATTTTTAGAACAATTTCCTTCAGTTAATGAATTTTCATCTACTACAATAACAATGCTGCCTGGCCACTCTACCAGTTTACCTTACACTACCTTATCAAGCTCTACCAATACCTTATTAAGCAGTGTATCCTCATCAAGTAGCTCAATCGTTACCATTACTTCTTCTCCTACTCTCTCTATTACTGAGTCAATAACTACACCATTGTCTAATATTAAAAGCAGTCATCTTGTACTTTCAACAGGAAGTATCAGTACAACAGAAGTCAGTCGTACACAAAACACTGTATCAGAAGGCAATCCTACCAGTGAAGTATTTGTCACTTCAAGCAGTAGTGCTGTTACTACTACCTCATTGAACACTGTATCAATGGAAAGTACACCTGATCAAAGTACAGGGAGTCTAATACTAGCAGGAAGTATTAGTAGTGTATCTATATTACTAGTAATTACTATACTAGTAATATTAATAGTGAGTGTATTATTGTTTAGGAGAAAACAGTTAGGTACTGGTAATACTAAAAGTGATAATGAAAGTATAACAGATGAACATAAACAAGGTTAAATAACAAACATTAATTAGTAACGCGGTAGCGTTACTAAGTAGGATTCACCCCCAAACAAAATGGCTGCCACGACTTTTGCAGCCTTGCTATACCGGGAAAACGAGCTCCTATGCTTACCAGACTTCTTAGAGGACCTCATCTTGACCAGAGGAATCCAATGGTACCACTAGCGTGGCTCTATACCTTGTCTAAGCCGAAAAGTCAAAAATCGGCGAACCGGCCGTTTTGTTCAGCCACCTTTTTTCATCTTCATCATCATCTTCATCAAGTCCTGTCAATCCAGTTGTCGGTGTGTATCTCAGTATTGGTTGGTGCTACAAGGATAATTCTTACACCAATCTACTCCAACAGTCTATGCGCAGGTCCATGTCCCATCAGATCATTCTTCAAGTAAGGGAAAAGTGATACTGTGACTGCTGGATCGAGCCATCTTAGCTACATGCCGCCATTTTGTTAATTAAAGAAGCTTGCCATGTGCTCCAAAATTTGGGTGTGGTCGCGCATGCTCAGATCTGCAGCTCTGGAAGAAGCAAGTTATTTTTGGCCTCGCCTACGCGAGGTATAGGTAGTTACCCGAGCCACGCGTAGGCGTGAAGCGAGGGTAAAGCAGTCGTTTTGTCTGTGTGTGTGTGTGTTCGCTTGATCTCCACTTTTGAGCTGACACTGCTTTCTTGTCTAGTCCTCAAGAGTCTTATGATCAACACTGGCTCTAGAAAAAGTTATTCTCCGTCTTGAGAATGCTATATTTTACTTTTCCATGGATAAAGAAGCTGGCAAAGTCGCCAAACGTAGGTCGGTTCCCCGACAACTCTTTCATAGTGAGAGCAAAAGAGCAACTGGGCAGATAAAACAACAAAGCAAAGCCTCCTCTTTCATTATTATGAGAGGAATTGCTCTAATCATCTTAGTTTTAAAGATATGGTAGCCCAAAAATTCATACTTTTGTGAGTTTAGACGAGGCTCTCTTCTCCAGAAGTAGCGGCCAGAGTCTTTTAACATCAGGGGCTCAGTAGACGTTTGTATGCAACAAATAGAGTCTAACAAATGTGTGCTAAAATCTTTAAAAGTTGAGAAAAACTGAAGCTTTCTTCACCACTTAAGGCCACGTGCCACCATTACTGTGTTTGCGGGTGGAGCATGGCTTGATTGAGCCACACCTTCATTGCAGCCACACCTTTGCAGCAATGCAGCAAACATACTGAAACTTCTTCTCTGTATAAAAAAGCAAACAATTCTCTGTCTCAAAGCATTCACTAAGCCTTAATAAATCTAGTACAAATTAAAGGAAAATAATTAGTGAAAATTTTGAGATAGAGAAGAACCTGCAGCATGTACTTGATTTATTAAAACTTAGTGAATGTTTTGAGACAGTCAAACTGAGAATGTTTTTTTAGACAGAGAAGAAGCTCCAGCATGTTTGCTGCACTGCAGCCACACTTTTACATTGCTGCAGCATGCAGCAGCAATGCAGATTGCTGAGGTTCCTTTTCTGTCTCAAAACTTTAACTAAAGGGCTGGCCAGCATAAAACATAGTCTTACAACACTGTTACAACAATTGGGGAGATAGAAATCAAGTCCATCTCTAACACATTTATAATTATAATGCTAATTATAAATAATAAAATTAAAAGTGGTCCACATGCAATTATAGCATATTTACTTTAATCATGTAAATCAGAGAGTACTTACTCAAAATTTTAATTATTGCTGTGGAAGCATCCATGTTGTAGGTGTTGATTGAATTTTGTTGTTATGGTAATGTTCAATAATTTCATTAAAGGGAATTAACTATAATAACTACTAAAAACATGGCGGAAAGAAGAAAACTACCAGAGGCCCTGATGTCTCTCACCTGGTGTAGCTACGCCACTGACTGGTGAAGAT